CAGCATCATCATCATCATCATCATCATCATCATCTCATCATCAATCACATCATCATTCATCATCATCATCATCAGCATCAGCATCAGGCATCAGCATCAGCAGCAGCATCATCAATCTCAGCAGATCAGCATCATCATCATAATCATCATCATCATCAGCATCAGCCATCATATCATCTCATCATCATCGTCATCACATCATCTATCATCATCACATCACATCATCACCATTAGTCTCATCCATCTATCATCCGCAGCATCATCATCATCATAATCATCATCATCATCATCATCATCATCATCATCACCATCATGATCATAATCATAATCATCATAATCATCATAATCATCATAATCATCATCATTATCAGCATCATCAGCATCATCATCATCATATCACAGTCACCATCACCATCATCATCATCATCAACATCATCAACATCGTCATCATCATCAGCATCATCATCATCATCAGCATCATCATCATAATCATCAGCATCATCATCATCGTCATCAACATCATCATCAGCATCAGCATCAGCATCAGCAGCATCATCATCAGCGTCAGCATCAACAGCAGCATCAGCATCATACTTATCGGCATCATCCTCATCATCATCATCAGCATCATCATCATCACCATCATCATCATCAGCATCAGCAGCATCATCATAATCATCATCAGCATCATCGTCAGCATCATCATCAGCAGCAGCATCATCATCATCAGCATCATCAGCAGCATCGTCATCATCGTCATCGTCAGCATCATCATCATCACCATCATCAACATCCTCATCCTCATCCTCATCATCATCATCAGCATCATCATCATCGGTATCATCATCAGCAGCATCATCATAATCATCATCATAATCAGCATCAGCATCATCATCATCGTCGTCGTCATCAGCATCAGCATCATCATCATCAGAATCATCATCATCATCACCATCATCAGCATCATCGTCAGCATCATCAGCATCAGCATCAGCATCAGCAGCATCATCATCATCATCATCCTGATCATCCTGATCACCATTACCATCATCATCATCATCATCATCATCATCATCATCACCATCATCATCATCATCATCATCATCATCATCATCATCATCAGCATCGTCATCACTAGCATCACCATCATCGTCATCGTCATCAATATCATCATCGACTCCTCCTCCTCATCATCATCATCATCATCAGCAGCAGCAGCATCATCAGCATCGTCATCATCATCATGGCAATCAGCATCATCACCAGCATCATCATTATGATCATCATCGTCATCATCAGCATAGTCACCAGCATCAGCATCAGCATCAGCATCAGCATCAGCATCAGCACCATCATCATCATCATCATTCGTCATCATCATCATCATTATCATCATCATCATCATCAGCATCAGCATCAGCATCACCACCACCACCATCATCATCATCATCATCATCATCATCACCACCGTTCGTCATCATCATCATCATCTTCATCATCATCATCAGCAGCAGCATCAGCATCAGCATCAGCATCATCATCATCATCATCATCATCATCATCGTCATCATCATCATCATCATCATCATCACCATCATCATCCTGACCCTCCTCCTCCTCCACCTCCTCCGCCTCCTCCTCCTCCTCCTCCTCCATCCCCTCCCCTTCCTCGCCCCCCTCCCTGCCCCCTCCCCTTCCTCGCTGCCCCCTCCGCCGCTCCCGCCTCCGCCCCGCTCCACCCCGCCCCTGCCCCGAGCAGGGCGGTCGCGGGCCGCGGGCGGCCTGGGTGCCTGCACACGGCCTCGGGCGGCCTGCGGGGGCGCGGGGGGAGGGGGAGGAGGAGGAGGAGGAGGAGGAGGAGGAGGAGGAGGAGGAGGAGGAGAAAGGAGGAGGAACGGGAACGTGGAGGAGGAGGGTGAGGAGGAGGAGGAGGAGGAGGAGGAGAGAAAGGAGGGAGGAGGAACGGGGACGGGGAGGAGGAGGGGGAGGAGGAGGAGGAGGAGGAGGAGGAGGAAGAGGAGGAGGGGGAGGAAGACAAGCTAGGTGCGCTCGCGTCATATCTGACGTCATACCCCTCCCTCCCATCCCTAACCATGGCGCTGATCCCCTCCCTATTCGCACAGTCGGATGTGGTAGCATGGCGTAGCATTACATGGCATAGTATGGTGTTGACGGCTAGCGCGTAGCATGACATAGCATGGCGTGGCGACGCCCAACAATGAGAGGGGGGGCTTCTGCGGCCCAACAAATCAAAGAATCGACACCGAGCGTGTAATCACGTATGATGGTTTCTTCGGTTCTTCGGGAAGCCATTATTTAGATGTTGGGGCCTATTCGGAAGGACCGGAAAACATGCCGCGGCATGGCGCTTGAAATAATGACGCCAACGCTGCAGCGGGAGCACGATTCGGAACGTCCGGAAGCGTGGACATCAGGGCAGCGCTGCGGCGGGAGCACGATTCGGAACGAGCGGTAGCCCGAAAACGAGGCCAGCGCTGAAGCGAGAGCAATATTTTTAAACAGGGGAAAAGAACGAACGCGCGGAAATGATGACGCGTAGCCTGACATAGCACGGCGTGGCGACGCCCCAAAATGGGGGGGGCTTCTGCGGCGCAACAAATCAAAGAATCGACACCGACCGTGTAATCACTTCCCATGGTTTCTTCGGGGAACCATTTCTTAGATGTTGGGGCCTATTCGGAAAGACCGGAAAACATGCCGCGGCATGGCGCTGGAAATAATGACGCCAACGCTGCAGCGGGAGCACGATTCGGAACGTCCGGAAGCGCGGAAATGAGGCCAGCGCTGCGGTGTGAGCACGATTCGGAACAAGCGGTAGCAAGTAGAAGCGCGGAAATGAGGACGCGTAGCCTGACATTAGCACGGCGTGGCGACGCCCCAAAGTGTAGGGGGGGGGCTTATGCGGCGCCAAAAATCAATGAATCGACACCGAATGTGCCATCAATTCCGATGGTTTTTCGGAAGGAAGGAGGGGGGGATTTTCTAGATTTTGGAGCTTATTTGGAAGGACCGAAAACCACGCCATGGCATGGGGAATAATGACGCCAGCGCTGCAGCGGGAGCACGATTCGGAACGAACGGAATCAAGAAAATGAGGCCCGCGCTGCAGCGGGAGCACCATTCGCAACGAGCAGTAGCCCGAAAACCAGGCCAGCGCCGCAGCCAGAACAGCATTTGGTAGAAAAACAGCGAAGAATAATACAAAACACACAAACACAAAAAAACAGAAAAACAAAAATCCGGGAAATCCCGCTGGAAAAAGACAAACACGCGGAAAGGGGCCCTGCCATTTCCCCGACGCCACCAGGGGAGAGAAGAGAGTAGCATTCACACTGTTTAACCCTCATTGGTTCTTAAGAAACCCCCCGGGGTTATCGCTTGCACCGCTTAAATGAAGAAATCCCGAGGCCACTATTGAGCAGGGCGATAGTTTGAGCACCGCCACAAAAAAGGGAGAGACACGCGGGATGAAAAAAAGAAGCGCTGAAAAGGGTTGGGGGGAAAGCAGATGGAACTGAAAAAACAAAATGCTGGAGCCTGAAACTTCTAGAAATATCTTCCTCCTCGCCCTGTGCGATCCCTACTGCAGTCCGCAATGAGAAGTTGATGTCCTTCGGCTGCCCTGAGGGGGTGGCCCATCCCGGGGCATCGCCCCCGCCCCGCACCGCGGCGCTATCTTAGCACACGGCACCGCCGACAAGAAAACATCAGGGCCCGCGCGCGGGCACCGCCATCTCGAGAGATGGGAGGGCTAGCATCGAATAGGACAGAATAGGATATCATAGAATAGGATCGAATAGGATAGAATAGGATATCATAGAATAGGATACAATAGGATAGAATAGGATAGACTAGGATAGAATAGGGTAGAATAGGATGAGAGGACACAGGACCCTTCTGAGGTTCCGGGGGCCACGTCGCCATAGGAGTGCAAGAAGGCGCGCGTCGCGAGGCACAGGACACAAGGGTGCCCTTGAGCTGGCAGGGTCGACCTACTAATCTGGGCCGACTGTAGAGTCAGATTACTTTGGGACTTCATAGAAGGGCGGAACAGTTAGAATATAATTGAATTATACTGGGATTACCTAGAGTTAGAAGCTAGGTGATATTGTAGTGGCCTTCGGCCAGTGCCGCCGATCCGGGTCGCTCGGGGTTATTCTCCAGACGCAGAAATTATGGGCGCACACTCAAACGCACACACACAGTCACACCACTTAACCTGCGCCGCAGACATGCGCACACAGCATCACCCACACACACATACTAGTTGGGAAACGCTCCTGTAGTACTAGTAGTAGTATTAGTAGTAGTAGTAGTAGTAGTAGTAGTAGCAGTAGTAGTAGTAGTAGTAGTAGTAGTAGTGGTAGTAGTAGTAGTAGTAGTGGTTGTGGTAGTAGTGGTAGTAGTAGTAGAGGCCTCGTTCCGCGGCTTCTCTCGACTTCCCGCGGTCTCTCTCAAGTTTCGAGCACGCGGTGAGTTTCACGATATATGTGTGTGTATGTACGCGTGCATGCATGTATGCATGCATTGATCATGTGTGCCTGTGTGTAGGTACGTATGTATGTATGTATGCTTGTGCGCGTATGTATGTATTTAGTTTGTATGTATGTTTGTATGTGTGTATGATAATATGTGTGTATGTGTGTGAATGTAAGTATGTATGTCTGGAAGATTGTTTTTCTATGTATGCAAATGTGTTTAAATGTAGGTATGTATGCATGTGTGTATGGATGTGCGTTTGAAGAGCGAGGATGTTTCAAAGAAGAGGCACTCGGTGACGCGATCGTTGAGGGATAGGAGTGAGGTCGCAGAGGAGGAGGAGGAGAATGAGGAAGAGGCGATAACTTGAAGGAAAACGATGAGACGGAGGACATCCTGCCGGTGGCGCCCTGGGCGGTGCCGCGGAAGAAACCGGGGGCCTGCCGGAGGCAGTCTGGAGGCCTCTGGGGAGCTGTTTTGGGGCCTCTTGGAACCTCTTTTGGGCCTCTTGTGGGCTTCTTGGGGCCCCTTGGGGGTCTCTTGGGGCCTCCTGGGGGCCTCTTGGGGCGGAAAGCTCGGTTCTTTCGGTTCGTGGTCCCCTCTTGGGCCCCTCTTGGGGCTCTCTTGGGGCCTTCTTGGGCTGTCCAGAGGCCCTCTTGGGCCGTCTTGGGGCCCTCTTGGGCCGTCTTGGGGCTCTCTTGGGCCGTGTTGGAAGCATCGTGGGCCGTCTTGGGACGGACTTGGGGGCCTCTTGGGCCGTCTTCGAGCGTCGGACGCCCGAAAAGGCAAGAACGCTAAAAACCCTGAGAAAACCAATGAAAATCAACGATTCTGGCCTCTTGGGGCCCTCTTGGGAGGCCTCTTGGAAGCTTCTTGGGGCGTCTTGGAGACACCTTGGGCCGTCTGGAGGCCATCTCGGGCGTCTTGGAGCGATTTTTCGGCGACTCGGGGCCCTCTTGGAACCCCTTGGGGGTCTCTTGGGCCCCCCCCCTCCTCCAAAGCGCCGGAAAAAGCGGAGCATGGCGCCCCCCCCCCCCCTATCTTCCACTCCCCCGGAGCGGCCCCGGGGTTCGCCGGAAACTCGCACCCCCCCCCCCCCCCCCACCCCCCCTTCCCCGGCAGAGCCACCCCGGCGACCCCCCCAGAGGCTGAAGCTCAGCCTCGAGGCTGTAGCTGAGACTCCTTGAAACTCACACGCCGGATCGGCGGATTTCTTATGTATGTTATACTTTCTGGAATCCCCTTCTCTTTCATTACATGCTACATGATCTTGGATTATATTATATATTGTTTTAGAATATTGTGATTATTATGTCCCCCTGCGGGACTGAAGCCTCGGCGAAGCCAATGCGCAGCTGAAACCCTCGAGGGCCTGACAGGGGACGCCATGGGGAGCCCTCTTGAACCCTCTTGAGCCCTTTTGAGCCCTCTTGAAGCAGGAAAGCTGTCTGGTGGGGTGAGCTGCCTGGCAGGGAAATACCTCGTTCAACTGAGCTGTCTTGCCCAAGGATGGGGCCAAAAGGGCAATATGAGGAGGCCCGAAAAGATTCCGAGGAGCCCAGGGAGGTAGATGCGCCTTATCGGCCGAGAGCCCGAGGAGGGAGCCACCTCGTCCTCTGCTCTTGCTCACCCTCAGCACCCTGGCCTTCAGCCCCCTAGGCCCACCCTCAGCCCCCCAGGCTCACCCTCAGGGTGCCGGGGTAACGCATCCAAGGGGCCGAGGGCATTATCGTTTTGCCGAAGGGGGGGGCGTTCTTAATAACCAATCAGGGTAAGTGTGGAGGAGGAGGAGGAGGAGGAGGAGGAGGAGGAAGGGTGAGGGGGGGGCTGGAGGAGAGGGCGAGGGCCAGACGAAAGGCTCGCGCGGCGAGTCTACGTCAGTCCGACGGGAATCCGATGCGATCCGACATGAACCCGACGTGAGTCCGACGTGGGCCTGGCGACGTAAGCAGGCTTTCAAGTTGCCGCGCGAGGCCTCCAAGATTTTCCGAGTAAGTGTAGCAAGATGAGGGCCGACCGTGCGCGCCAGCCTTCGTCGGCGGCGAGCCCAGGGAGGAATGCTGTGGGGGCGGGCCTTCTCAGAAGGCTCGGAAGTTGTCGGTCCTTCTGAGAAGCTCTCTGAGCCTTCTCCGAAGACAGGGACGGCTTCTCAGAAGGCTAGCTAGCTTCTGAGAAGCCCCGCAGCCTTCTGAGAAGGCCTGCCCCCTCTCACTTCCCCTTGGCCGCGCCGCCGAGGGAGGGAGAGGACAAGCAAGATTGCAGATTCGACCATGGACCCCTTTCTGTCCATCGTCCCTGGGAAGTCGTCGGC